GACACACCCACACCCACACCCACACCCACACCCCACACCCCACACCCCACACCCCACACCCACACCCACACCCACACCCGCTTAATGAATTGATTTCTTTTATGCAGAGTGACGAATTTAACAATACTTTCAAACAAGTTTTGGCTTCAGTGTATCCTACAGCTAAGATTTTCATGAAAAATGGCATATATGATCAAGCAATTATAATTTTGGAGGGCGCAATAAACAATATGAATTTAGTCACGAACATTCCATCTGATCCATTGCATATACCCAGATGTTACATGCAACTCGGTCATTGCTATCACGAACTTAAATTATATGATAAATCATTAGAAAATTATGAATTGGCGCTCGAACAAAATATCCGATTACCATCCGATGAATACATTGAATTATTGCTTGGCCTTGGCAAGACATTGGAAGTTACGAATAACTACAAAGAAGCTTTGTATAAATATATCGAAATAGCTGAAATTTATCAGAATCCGTTGAATATAAGTAGTTCCGAAGAGCGTCATTTCATCGACGAATGTATTTGACGAGTTACATCGCATCTTATTCCGACAGACTGAATTCATGAAACTAACGATTTTATCTATTTGAACTCTCAGTTTTGTTCTCATCCTAGTGTATTGCAAAATATATACAACACAGTTTTTTACTATTAAAAATAGAAAGTTTGCAAGTGACACAGTTTTTCATAAAAATAGATTTTATCTTTAAATAAATGTGCCTTGTGTATTTTTCTTCGTATGCCATTCCACGACAATTGTAAAAGATAGTTTGACTGGCGTGAAAAGAACGTTAGTAATGTGTATGGTCATCTTATCTTGAGGGATGAGGGTGAGTAGGGTGTGAGTGTGGGGTAAGAGTGTGTGAGGATGCGGGTGATAATCGCTTCTTCACCCTCACCATCACTCTCACCTACAGACACCCTCATAGAGGAGATTTCAAGGAATGTGAATTTATAGTCTAGTCGATTAGACATGTGCAGAGTCGGGAGAACAATTGCATTAATCGAATTTGGTACATGCTGAGCAAACCACGAGCATCTCTAGAGGTCTATAAGTATCCAAGACTGCACTCCACCCTCTACCAATATTCTTTCGGATTTCTCAAAGTCTACAAACCTCGCTTGGCACCCTCACAACTCTATAAATTTCGCTCGGGACCCTCTAAACAGTGGCGAATCTAGCCAGCCGGGCGGTTCCGGCGATTGAACTTTCAAAGTGCTTACGTCACTTAATAATCACAACGTAATTTAACCATTATTATCTCATTGATATTGAAGCCTTACAAAGATGGTTGTTTCACGGTGACTTGTGCTCATTACCACTTCAGGAAAAGTAGCTTCTCTCACTCCACCAAAATTCTAGATCCTTCATTGCCTCGAAAGTCTACAAATTTCACATAGAACATCTCAAAGTGTGCAAAGCCTCGCTTGAGATCCCAAAGCCTATAAACCTCGCTTGTGAACCCTCGAAATCTATTAATTGCTGTAGAATCCGCTCCAAGTGTGAAGGTGGGTGAAGTTGAGTGAGAGTCGCCTTTTCGCTTTCATTCCCCACCCTCATTCACTCAACCACTCTTGCCATCACTAGAGATCGGCGTGACCATTTTTCTTAGAAACTTCGTGATCGTGACACGACCGTGACCAAAATTCAGTCACGATCAGTCATGGGCATTTTGGATATCTAACTATCTCATATGTGAGAAGTCCAAAAAGCGTTGCTGGAATCTTTTTTTCTGATCCGGTATCGATTAAAATGAGAGTATTTTATTTGGTTGCAACAAGATCATTTGATCTTTAATTTGAGCGACCATAAAATATTTTTTCCCGGGTTTTGTATTAAAATTCAAGCTTTTTCTAGAGTTTTTGTGACTTACCGTTACGAGCACGACAGGTTATGTCGTGACTGTGATCGTGACCATGATCAAACCGGTTGTGACCGTGACCAAAAAACCTTGGTCACGTCAATCTCTAGCCCTCACCCTCACCTTTCAACCCCGCACTCACCCGCCTACCCTTACCAACCCTCAAGATCCGTAGGCTGGTAGACTTTGAAAAATCCACGGTGATTTATATGCTTTATAGAGATTCCGATAGTCATATATGAGCTTCGAGAGTTCCTAAGCGAGATTTGTAGACTTTGAGAAGTTTCGATGCGTATTTACAGACTTTGAGGTATGGGCGTGGGTGTGGGTGTCGATGTGGGTGTGGGTGAGTGTGGGTGGGTGTGGATGCAGGACAAGAAGAAGATCCACACCCACATCCACATCCTGAACTGGAATTATCTTCTGTATCAACACTTGATATCGAATATACAACACATATAATCAAATGTTGTATCGAACAAGAAGTTAAAAGTGTTTTAGTAGAATCGTTTCTTCTTGGTTTATAGACTCTCATCGAGTCAATATTTAATTTTGCTATCATATAACCAATTTTTGCTCTCATTTGTACCTATATTTGCTGAATATTTAATACAAGCAACAATTGATATAGACGATAAAAATAATTATCTAATTTCATGATCACTAAGAAAAATCGGTCATCAATTAATTGTCGGTCCACAACAGAGTCCATTAAAAAAAACACATGCTAATACATTGAAATTACCATTATTTGCTAATGGATATGAAGCATTGCCAATAGATAATAATCCATATTTATCCAATTTATTTAAACCTGATTTAACTATTTACCGTCACTGTCAATTACCTTATCAACGGCAACAATCGGTATTTTCAATTCATAAGAATATCGATCAAGGTGCACAATTAATTTCAAAAATGAAATTATTTATTGGTAATAAACAGCGAATTTTACAAAAGCTCATCGAATCTGATACTAATAATGCATGCGCTGCAGTATTTCCAGTCTATATCAAACATTATCGTTGTATTGATTTAGCTCAACATGAACTAGCTCAACCGATCGATCAAAAAGGGCGTGGATGTGGGTGCGGTGTGGGTTGGGTATGGCCGGGGTGTGGGTGGGGTGTGGATGGGCGTGGGCGGGGTGTGGGCGGGGTGTGGATGGGTGTGGGCGGGGTGTGGGTGTGGGTGAATGGAATATTTTGACCTACACCCACACCCACACCCCGTCTCGGTGACTCGACTTGACTCGACTTGAAACCATTTCGAAATGACTCGGACACGACTCGAAAAATGGCTTGACGCGCCCATCCCTAACCCAAACACCGACCCACCCACATTCACACCTCACCACCCACACCCACACCCACACCCACACCCCACCACCCATACCCACACCCACACCGACATCCCACACTCACACCCACCCACACACGCATCCACACACCCACCGACATCCCACACCCCACACCCCACACCCCACACCCACACCCACACCCTCCCACACCGTTACCCACACCCTCCCACAGCCACACCCTTCCACAGCCACACCCTCTCACACCCACACCCTCCCACATCCACACCCACACCCACACCCACACCCACACCGACACTCACACCCACA